GAAGCTATCCGGAATTGTTTAGTCAGTAAACCTTGGTTAAGCCAAGGGTGGCTTAGCCACCTGACTAAGCACTGACTAATTTCCTGGACTTGTAGCTTTGGGGGCGGGGGAGTTTCATTGCCTTGGACTTTCCCTTTCTGCAACCTTTCTGGGACCCCAGGGAGCTCCTCAGGCTGCCTTAGTCCCCACACTGGGCAACCGGATCCCATTCGGGCAGCAAGGAAGACCCCCCCCCCCAAAAAAAACAGGCTGAGCTCAGAGGGCTCTGCAGGGGGGGGCACCAGGAGGGCAGGCAGCCACTGCGGGGAGGGGGAGGCCCTCCAGGGCAAGGAAGGGGCCCACATTCCTTCCCTCTCTCAGCGCTGCAGCCTCCTAATTGGAAGGGTCTGTGGCTGCTCCTCCTCCGAAAAGTTTCTTCCGCCATAATCACATTCAGATGAGAAAACTCACCCAGAGACTGGGAAGCAGGAGAGCTTTGAGCCTACAGCCTTTTCTTCTTCCCCAGGAGGCTTGATCGGGCCAGGGGCTCCCTTGATGGGGGTGGGGGCTGGTAAATTCACACTGGGGTTGCGTGCAGGGCCATCTCCAGGTGACTCGGGCTGGCCAGTCCCCAGATGGGCCCAGAGCCAAGAGGGGAAATTCAGGGGGGGGTTCCATCTGGCCCCAAGCTGAGGAACCTGAGGAATGTCCAGGAGGGATTCACACACACACACACACACACACACACGGCTCCCCCCCCTTCCTCGGCTGCCATCCAGCCTTTGCCATGGGCATCCTGTGGGCACTCCACCTGCACCTGGGCTTGGCATGGGAAAAGGGGGGGCTGGGTTGGTTCCCACCTGCACCGCCTCTGCCAAAGGCTCATGAGGGCTTTGTCTCCCAGCATTGGAGCCTCCTGGCTGTGATTTCACTGCAATTAGTCCCCTTCCTGAAGAGCGGCCTGAGCGCCATCCAGACGTCCGCCAAATGGACAGCGGGCTCCCGCAGTGGGACAGGAGCGTGGCCAGTGGTGGGAGCGGGTGGAGACAGGATGTCGTGGCAGGGTCCTGGTGGTGGGAATTCTCCAGGCTCCCCAAGTAAGGGGCTTCTTGGGGGTTTCTCAGCAAACGGGAAGAAGCAAAGAGCGAGTGCCACATCTGGAGAAGCCCAAAAGCTTGAGAAGGGTGGTTTATTGTCAACAAGCCCTCCCTCCATTGGCCGGAATGTTTATTGCTTCTCCGTTTCATCCGCCAGAGGGCTAACAAGCCCAGCCTTGCTCTGGGCGTCCGCTTTCTGATGTGCTTGCAAAAACTCTGAGGCTCAGGGCTGACCACCGTCCTGGCCCAAGGTCTGGGAGGCAGTGGACGCCCTCTGGGGGCCGCCTGGCAGGAGTCCGAGTGCCCAGCGAGGTCCCATGCCAGGCAGGCTCAGTTCAGCCTCTTGCCACGGGTGCTGGAGAGACTGCCCCCCCCTTCGGCCACCCCCTCCCCGCAGCAGCTGTTCCAGGGGCGCAGCCTCCCTTGCCAGCCCACCTGGGGAGGAAGAGAAGGTGACGCCTCCTTCCTGGCCCTCGCGACCTGTGGCTAAGCCCTTGGCTGGCTGCCTCCCTCCCTCCCTCCCTCCCTGTCACACCCTGCAGCAGGATCCCTGCTCCTCCTCTCTGGCTTGGCTGGGCTTCCTGGGGGTTGGAAAGGGCAGGGAGGAGGCTGGGAACAGGAGAGGAAAGGAAGGGGAAAGTGCTGGGCGAAGCAGCTCTGGCTCTGCCCACAGCCTTCCCCCCCCCCCAACACTCAGGCACCAAGAGGCTGTTGGGGGGGCTGTCCCTTTAAAAGCATACCAAAAGGGGAAGGGGGCACAGCCAATCAGTCTTGCAAGAGTCACTCAGTATAGCTAATCAATAACATATGAATAATAATGTATTAACTTTATGTGCCACCTGATTCCCAGCAACCACTTTTAACTTCCCAGGCTGTCTCTAGGGCTGGCATGCCTGATGGTGCTGCCCCTCGGGCCCCCCTTCTTAGACTGGAGTGAATGGGGGGGGGGTCTGAGTCTGCCTCAGCGGCTTCTAAAGGTCGTCATCCCCCCGTTTTTCAGTGCTCCCACCCTCCTTGCCTGCCCAGCGAAGGGCCAGCCACAATCTCTGCCAAGGTCATCTTCTCCATTCTCAACGGTGGCAGAATCTGGCCGAAAGAATTGTAAGTTGCGAGGGGGGGGGGCAGCAATCGGGAGGCTGCTCAGAGTTACAACTGCAATCTGATTTGGCCTCTGTGTCCTTGTCCCCTTTTTGGCCTGTCCCAGGCCTCGTGCCCCATGGAAACCAAGGGCCCCGTGGCCCTCCTTGCCAGCGGGGGCCTCTTCACACCAGCCGGGTGTGACTTTCCCCGACTCAGGCGGTTGCTTGGCCTGGCCCAGATGGGGCTTTTCCATCAGCATGCAGAAGCAAACTGGGGGACCGGCCAGATTTCCCTCTTTGGATGCGTCTGGTGGGGAAGCTGGTTTTGAACCGAAGCCACTGTGCCCCCCCCCTCCCCGGCCCCCCTATCACCACCCAAGCCTCTCTTTGGTGTTTCACAGGCGGCCGGGTTTCTGCCTGGAGCCAATTAGGCCCAGATTCTGCTCTGCTAATCATCCCCACATTTCAGACCCTGGACGTTTTGCTGGGAAAAAGACAGCCTGCCTCCAACCCCCCCCCCCCCCCCCCCCCC